CAAGCGATCTCTTGGACTTGATAGTTGACACTTCAGAGAAAAAAAGCACGGTCCTCGTTCTGACAGTTTACTGATCGGATGGTGCCGAGACACGAGGCGCAAACAGAACATATCTATTCGAAGAACATGTCACTGCGATCGTCCGGCGTAAGGTCGCAGCCAGATGGACCAAGTTGACCACCGGAGAACCACGTGAGCCGGGTCGATTGTCGCGTCACACGGAGCGCAGGAGAAGCCCAAGGGAGCGCCAAACCAACAATCCCGGAATTCTGCAGAACCCCGCAGGAAGGGCTGGATGCCATCGAACGTACGAGTAAGTGGGTTCGGCCTCATGATGTTATCTTATTAACACAGAGTACTGATTTGATTTGTGTTTCTGTTACTCTGGACCGGATCAACTGTGCGCTCCCTGTGGTCAAGGTGGAGCTGAAGAGGGAGACCTCGGCGGTCGTCCTGGTTTTCCCCCTGGGCCGTGACCTGATCGTGGATGGTTTTGGCCTGGTTCGCTTTGGTCGATGGGTCTCCCTAATTTAGCTTGGTCGGTCCCAATTGAAGGATTTAGAGTGGCATCATGTTCGTCCTGCACCGATGATGTATCCTGTCGGCGCCGGTCTGCGGGTCTGGTCTCCATCGATGGACTGTACAGTGTACACTTGTATATGTGTACCTACGCTGCGCGGTATCTACCAAGTACCAACGCACGAGGTCGGCACCTGGCAGTGGTAAGTAGCGGACAAGAACCTGGAATCCGAATCGCTCGGTCTACCATGGTCTGCAGGACTCAGGAGGGGGACCCACGAGGTAAGGCGTCAATTGGGTTAAAGGCAAAACTTAAGTTGCCCGCCGGGGGCACAAGTCGACACGCTCCCATACCGAACAAGGGGGTTTGTCTATGGTGTGGTCTCTTCCTGTGCCGTGTTCGAGCATGCATTCCTCGTCGCCCCACCGAGTAGATCTTGCCATACCTCTGACTCGCATAGTTAGTTGCTTCGGTGTTTCTGCAACAACTTAACGGGACAGCTCAGGTATGAATGCCCTCATTCTTTTCGATCGGAGTCAACTCGTTAACTCTCCATTCATTCGTAGAGCCGTAGACCACCTCGAATTCTCCCTCCTGCTAGGGTTTCTCTCTTTCCTTCGTCTTTCTTATTTTGCCGATCGCATCTTTGCCCCGTCTACTAAAGTAATTACTAAATCGGCATCTTGATCGGATCTCTCCACCGAACCATTGCCGTGCTCCATCGCAGAGTCCACTTAACCAACCGATCTGGATTAATCCTCCCAGAAGAAGATCCCAATTTAGGGCTTTTGTGACGATCCCACGAGTTTCAGCGTGTGGTTTGGGTGGCTAACTGGAGATTGGCATGGTCATTCCATGATTCCGCCATAGAAAAATTCTTCTGACCGGTACCAGAAGATTGATATTATTTGAATATAATTAGAAATAAAACTTTTTGATATTTTGACTTCGGAATTTATTTGATCTTATTTTCTTTATTTTTCTTTTCTTCTTTCAGACCGGACAGGAACGAAATTTCTTTCCCTTCTTCTCATCTGCCAATCTTTCCGACTTTCTCCTGACTACTGACTTCTGACTTTGGGGGATCAAACATTGGTGGTACAACTTAATCGGAATCCTTGGCTCTTGATTACGTTGACCAAAAGAAAAAAACGATTGAGAAACGCGAAGAAGGAAAAGAAAAAGAAAAAAAGAAAAAAAGAACAATAAGACCAAAAAAAGAGGAAAAGTCGCCGTCAGGGCCAATCAACGGCACATCGGCAGGGATGTCGACCTTCGTTGCCGCCTCCGCCTCCAACAGCGACCTCCCAGCCGACTCTCGTGCTGGGCCCCTCCGCCGACTGAGCCAGCTGCGCGCCTATACTCACGGTCATCTTTCGCCTCAGCCTCCGCTCTCTTCCTCAGCCTCCCAGCGTTTCACTCGCCAAAACACCCTAGGCAGTCGAGTGAATCGCTTGTGCCCTGCGCCCTTCCTCACCGTCATCGAGGACGATTCTTCTGATTCTGACGACGCTTCAATAGTGGAGACGCCTAGCAATAATCCGGCTCCATGCCCCGAACCTGAACAGCCCGCCCGCAACAATAGTTCGACCAGTTTGTCAAGCTTCCGCGGCTTACAAATTGAGTGGCCTTTTGAATCGCGCCACTCCGAATCCTCGAGTTCGACTCCTTCCACCGATCTGGCTGAGAGTTTTTCGCAAGAATCGATGGCGCGGCTAAGAGGATCCTCCCAGCCTTCGGAGTCTCGAGCAGCAGACGAGGGGGCTCCCACGTCCGCTCCGGCTGAACTCCAGAGTGCCCTGTTCGACTCTCCTGACCCCGTCGCAACCGAAAATTTTTCCTCGTCCCCTAAACCCCGACAGAAGGCGACCATTCGGTTTTTCCCCCACCAGGAGTCTCAGTCGAGCGCCCGACCGTCTCTGCCCTTCATCCCTGTCTCGCGAACGCTCCCGTCGGAAAGTTGCATTATCAAGGTTGGTCGTTACTCCGAGCGCGATGGCCTGCCGCAGCCCAACCCGACGGAACCATCGGATGCGCCCGTGGGATTTAAGTCGAAGGTTGTGAGTCGGAGACACTGCGAGTTCTTGTACGTAAATGGGCAATGGCACGTCAAAGATGTTGGCAGTTCCTCCGGAACGTTCCTGAACCACATGCGACTGAGCCAGCCGAACATGGCCTCGAGGCTATACACGGTGAAGGACGGGGATATTGTGCAACTGGGTATTGATTTTCGCGGTGGCGAAGAAACGATCTTTCGGTGTGTCCGCATACGGATCGAGTGTAACCGATCGTGGCAACAGCAGCCCAATGAGTTCAAGTATGGGGTTCCCGACCGTGAATTTTAACCAAGATGGTGCTAATAGGGGGTTTAGCAAAAACACCGAAAGTCTGATCAAGAACCTGGGCAAGGGAGAAGCCGCGGATTATGCTGGTTGTCGGGAATGCTCAATCTGTCTGGGCTCGGTCCTGGTATGTCTTTCGTCTATGGATTGATGGTATCTGGAAATCTCATTTGCTAACTTTTGATGTAGCGACCCTACCAGTGTTTATTCATGGCAGCCTGCGCCCACGTCTGGCACTACAAATGCATCATGCGCCTGATCCACACACCCGATTACCCCATGTTCCAATGTCCCAACTGTCGCGCCTATACGGATCTCAGCGCCGAAGTCGACGACTCGAATGATTATGAGGGCGAAGACACCGAACAGAAGAGTTCCGCGGCGGAGGGAAAGCCTTCGTCTTCATCGGAGGATATTCGACCGGAAACACACCCCGCGTTGTCGGAAAGCAACCATGCCACCAACCATTCCATGAGCTCGGTGGAGGAACCGCCGAATGGCCTGCCGTCTGAAGCAGGTCTCGCTGCTAATATCGAGAGCATGCGCTTAAACGACTCCGAGGCTGCGCGAGAGGCGGCTCAAACGTCTCAAGAACAGGCTACCAGCTTGAACCTCGAGACTGTTCATACGCACACCAGCGCGGACATGCCCGGTTGGCAGGCTGTAGGCCAAACCTCCGCCCCTATTCAATGCCGACAAGCTCAGCTTCGCTCTGATACGCCTGTCCGCTCCGAATCATCTGAGGACAACCCTCTGACGCCACAGAACGACTCCGGACCATTGGCGTTCGACGGTCGGGCTAGCATGTCGTGACAGGTCTAGGGGGGAACATGAATCGCCATTCGCCTCGACCGTTTCTACACTACCAACAAACGTATGCGATCATTGAGATTCGCAAATCTCTCGACGCAATGCGTTCCACACAACAATTTATGTCAAATGGACGCCATCTACACCCTTTTCCGCTTGTCGGAATACTTTCTTTATCTTATCTTATTTTATTTGTTTAATTCACCTTTCATCACTGGCATTGACGTTCGACCACGTTGCATCGCACAGCCTACATACAACCTTATACTACATTTCCCCACCGTCTGAGAATTATACCCCATCATGCTGCAAATATAGCCTTTTTTCATTCCATTTTACCCTTTCAACCAGGGCCGTTGAGTCTATCGTCTGATCTATACATCTGACTGTCACCATCCCGAACCCGTTTCCTTACGTTTTTCCAACCACCATTGATCTGGACTTTTGATCCATGCATGGCTTCTGCGTTCTGGATAAGGCTGGCGTATAATACTGTCGACGGCCGTTACATTGCAGGATGATCTCTAAAGCCTGCTACTTTGGCTTCTTCTTGGACATGGCCTAATCTTTTTCGTCCCCTTTTCATCATTCCTATGCCTCCTTAGCGTTAGTCGAGCATATACATATGTACGCATAGCATTGGCTTCTAAACCCATGAAATGAAGATTTTGCAAAGACCTGTTTTCCTTTTTCTTTCTTGGACTAAATATAAGACAGGGCCTTCACCGACTATTCATCAATTCCCTTGTTAACATTCTCATCGTGCTTTCACTACTCTATTTCATCTTTTTTCATCCGTCGGTTCGGGAATCTCTTCATTATATCTATGAGCATCCCTACTAGGTAGGATGTACTTTTTTTCTAGACGCCCTGGGTCTTCCTATCCCGACATTCACTACACGGTCCTCCCACGGTGACTTTACCTGGTATCATCAAAGATACCTACAATCATGAAGATGCTCGCCTTACCTGCTCCTGCGGCAGCAGTAAGAACCCCGGGCATGTGGTAGTGAGAAATACTACTATCCCGGCATTGTCTTCATTCGCTCTTTCCTTCTCCGCACAGAAGGAGACTAGGTAATCATTCCAGCACGATCAAGGAAGGTTGGTCACTTCAATGGAAGTCACGACCAAGTAGCGCATTTACCAACAGTTTCGTGGAATCCTCGTTTCTGCGAAAATCCATCTATTCCAGAAGTTACTACTCCAAGAACAATCTTTATAAACCTCTACAACCTATTACTATCACTCAATACACGCCTTCATCTGCGCGTGGTTACTGCAACGCACTTGTTACTCCATTACCCCCTGATCCACCCGTCAACCAAATGGCGCAGCAGGAGGAGTGGTTCCCAAACGATACCTGGATCGGTCGATCATATGAATTCGACGATGGCGAGGCTCCGGGCTCCATTTGGATCCTGGATAGAAAGATGTGGGAAGCCGTACACCCATTTGGTACCAGCGGCTACCGATATGCAGTAGGGGTATTTCAATGCCGACCGAAAACCAACGCATGCCTCGCATACACAGCTATGATCAAGATCTATATGCAGTGAGGGGGCTGGATATCCTAGTACGCACTACGTGGTTCCTAACGGCTTCTGGTCACAGAGTTCCTGCTGCAGTATCGGCCACCAACGGGCACCCCCCGCCGGATCAACCGATCCAGCCAGTTAGACAGCCTCCTGTTGTAGCGCAGTTCGCTGTTGACGCTCAAGCTAGTCAAGCGAATCACTGTGGGCTATCACGCACTCTTTTTGGTAGAAAGCACCTACCTCAGACTCAATCTCAACCTGTTCAGGGGGGTTTCATAACGTGGTACCTTTTGGCATGCCGCCCAGGACCAATTAACACGACAGACAGACACTTTTCGGTTCAGGCCCAGATCCCTCTCACTCCTACGCATTGTCGACCTGGGCCGGATAGAGTTGCTAATTGTTATGCGGAATTCATTCGACATCAACTATGCACTTATGATTCATAGAGGAAACTTTGATACGGCGAAGAGCTGTCATGTTGTCTGTTTTGTACCCGCTCATAACTAGTTATCGGCTGTTATAAGAATTAATAAGAGCAGTTCATCTTTTGAACTAAACACTGTGCACATACCATACTCCTCTTGCCGGGAAAACCAGTTAACTACATCGTATACATCTTAGAGTGCACATGCCAGCCGCAACGTCATTCCACAGGAGATCGCCAAACAAAGCACCAACCATCGTTCGAGTCTGCACCGGCAGTCGGCACTCCCCCAACGCGCAGATGCTTGGCTGCTAATGTGATTTGTGGAGCTTTTTGATATGCCCCTCCAGTAGGTCCGGATAACGAGAGCTGAAGTTGTGTTGTCGAGGTCTTTCTCAACCCCAGTGGTTTGTTGTTGTAGTCTTGGTAGATGGTCTAAGGTGGTCCAAGCACGCCTAAGATTCATTTAGATTAAATTGCGACTGCTGACCGCTAGACTGTTTTTCTCGCTTTGTTGATCAACCTACTCTGTACTCCGTACTGTTATTCGAATTTAATCCTTTGACGACAGGATTTTCTCAATGACATTAAATTTTAGCGAGCCCCCGACGCCTACTCTGAGTCGTCCAAATACTGGCCTTCTCAATGGCCATCAGCATCCTCATCATTATCGCCAGGGCACGCATCCGCATCTGCTGTCCGCTCGGAGGAAACCTCGAAGGTATCCACTCGCCAGCTTTTATGCTCTTGTTCATATTGATGCTTTGGACGCGCGTTGATATGATTCTATTCGCCACAGATGGCCTTTAGTTCTTCGGTTCGTCAAGGGCGCCATCCACGGCGCCATCCTGCTACCGGTCACTTTGCATGCTATCTTTTCGGCATTCGTTGTCTGTCTTGATTTGTATATCTTTGACACCGTCGGTCTTCCGAATAGTATTGTATGTTTTCCTACTAGAAGATACTTGTTCAGTGATACGTCTAACTCAACCTAGATCCCCTCTCTCTCCATCGTGGTCGGTTTGATGCTGGTCTTCCGCAACCAAACATCCTACAGTCGATTCTGGGATGGTCGCAACGCTATGAATACCATCTCCACGAGCATCCGGAACCTGGTGCGCACCACCGTCACGCACGGATACAGCAGCACGGGGCCTCCCTCTGCCGCTGAAAAAGAGGACATCGAACGCACCATCCGCATCCTCATGGCGATTCCCTACGCCGTCAAGAACCATCTCCGCGCCGAATGGGGCGCCGCATGGGCTCTTGGGAGTGATGTCACCGAGAACGGTATCGCTGGGTATAACCCTGACTATGCGAGTCTTTTGCCTGCGGGCCTGGAAGGCCATGAGGATGAGGGGCTGGGTTTGCCGTTTCAGTTGACGTTCTTTGTGGATGGGTTCATCAAGCGAGGCGTTGATCGCGGTTGGTTTAATGCTCCTGGTTCGAGTCAGATGCAGGCGCAGTTGAATACCTTGATGGATGCGTATGGGAAGATGGAGACGATTGGGTTGACTCCGATTCCGGTGGCGCATTTGTGAGTCTTATCTTCTACAACCTTCCGGGCTCTTTCTTTTTTTAGTCCGCCTTCTTGTCCACTATATACCCAGCATCGCACCACCTACTGAACCAAACCCACTAACCAACTTTCATAGAATCCATCAAAAACAAGTCCTCGCCCTCTTCGGCTGTGTCCTCCCCTTCGGCATGGTCGATGACATGGGCTGGTGGACCGTCCCCATCGTCAGTCTCGTGATCTTCACCCTCTACGGCATCGAGGGCATCGGTTCCCAGCTGGAAGATCCCTTCGGCTACGACCGCAACGACATCAAGATGGACGCTATCGTGGGCGACGCTAAGACTGAGATTGATGTTGTGTTGGATGAATGGCGTCGTCTGATGCGATCTGTTGAACTGGAGTCGGGTGGTCAGGCGGCTGGTGATGCACTTGGGCTTGGGATCAGGACTGGAGTTGCCAATGATGTGTCAAAGGATGGGAACCGGGAGTTCGTGCCTCCGGAAATGTTTTTAAAGCCAAGGTCGAGGATGGCGAGGGGGTGAGAGTTGCTACTGCAAAGTAACTACTGCGTAGTAGTAGGTAGTACCTATCCCTGTATTAACTAGATCGGCCACCAAGATACCAAAGGTGAAGAATCCTTGACGATCCCGGACAGCAAAAAAAAGAACAGGTAACTCAAGTCAGGATCAAAATTATCGAATGATCGAAAACCAAAGGATCGTCAGGGGAGCAAAGCAAAGCCAGTGGCGTAGCTAGTTCCGGTAAGGATGACCCTGGCAGCCAGCCAGCAAAGTGATATATCCAAAATTCAGTCTTAGTCTTGATACAAACTTTCCTAGTTAGGATCTATGAATGCCCCTTTTAGAAGCGTCTGCAGCCTGTAGTAGTTCCTTGTTTGTCTTAAATATCCCCATTCATCCTAATATTCATCTATACCTTTGTTGGACATTGTCTTGCTCATCTGGATACTCAATTCCGAAACAAATATCTTCATACATTCTAAGCTACCACCACCATCCAAGAACCAAAAAAAAAAAAAAAGAGAAAATGAAATGGCCACCCATCCTCTCCATCCTCCTCACCACCCTCCTCTTCTTACCTTTCGATCTCGCGCACGCGCACGATCAAAAACACGCCCATGCGCACACGCACACGCACTCCCACCTCCCACCTCGAACCTCGAAACCAAACCTCCCTGACTGCGCGAACTTAGAGAAACTCAACCACACTTTGACGCGCATATCCCCGATCTTGGAGCGCTTGTTACATCTGGATGGGAATAGTTATGCTCATGGTCATGGTCATGGTCATGGACACGGTCCTATCCATCCCCACGGCCGTGGTCACGCACATGCCGGAAACGGAGTGCAAGCGAATACGCCTCAGAGTCACACTAGGGACAAGAATGTCGACGTGAGCGAGGTAGCTGAAAAGATCCAGGCCGTGAAGGAGGCGATGGAGCGGTCGAGAGAGAAGGTTTCCGTTGGGATGTTTCGGTGTCGGGAATTGAATGGAATCGGGAGTGGGAATGCTAATGCGAATGCGACTAGTTTGGAAGGTATGAGGAGGAGGTGGTTGAGGAAGCGAAGTGGGGATGGTGCTGGGAAGAATGATGAGAGTGAGAGTGATAGCGATAGCAGCAGTAGCAGCAGTGATAGTGATAGTGACAGTGACAGTGACAGTGACAGCGATGATGAGGATGATGGCGATGAGAAGGATGAAGGGCAATGCACTCTGGTGGATGTGTTGGATAACTTGGTGACTACACTGGAATGTCTGTTAGCGTTTACGGGTGGAGTGCTAGATGGGGTGCTGGATTTGGTGCTAAATATGCTGAGTGGTATCATTAATTTGGTTGAATCTTCTTTGGATTCATAGGTTTGGAATAGATAGTCAATTTTTTAATGCTACTTTGACAAGCAATGTATACACATACTGGAGAATAGTACTACATTGGACTATGGCTGGTAGTTGACCGCCAGCAGTCATCCGTTCAGATATCATATAGGGGTCTCAAGAGCAAGGACACTCTCCAATATAGTGTCAGGAGTAGCGTAAGCCAGAACCTGGGACACCGTTTTCAAGTCACTCCCATACTGGAGGCTGCGATCATCTTCTGGTTTAGCCACAACGATTCGATGCCGAAAGACCTTCTTTGCGGCTAAGGCCACGATAGACGGGGTGAGATAATCTATCCCATGGAGCGTAGCTAGCAGTCTGTGCGTCATTGGTTAGTTGAGCCCAGGGTGCATGTGCGGGCTATGACATACTTCGAAAGTGTTTTGAAGTGGATATTAGAGCGAACTGATATGCCTCCCACGACTGCACGGCTGAGACGAAAGAACACAATAATATCCTGTTGATACCGGACAATGTCGGCTCCAGCTGTGACGGCATTGCTAGCTCGTTCCAGTTTATCTAGAGTCTGGGTGACTCATTAGACGGGCTGTCGTGCACATGAGGAGACGCACTTACCTTTCGGTCGATGTTCGGGTTGCGCTTGTTCTGCGGTGCTTCGGATTTGCGCACCACAGACGATGCCGACATTTGACTGTCTGACAGCCAATCGTCATTCTCTTCTTGGTAGATGTAACCATCGCTATCATCATGAAAATGGGATATGATGAAATGGTCGTTCTTCAGCTACATCAGTATCGAAGACTTCGGCTTTTTAGGGAAGGCAAGCCAACCAAATGAGGGTTCAATCTTGGTTGATCCTGCTCTGAGCGACGAGCTAGGAGTGGCACAAAGAGAAAATCCGCCGGGGCCTCGAGCACACCATCTTTGAGGGCCAGTTTCTTCGAGCGCATCAACTAGAAACGAGTCAGTTAGACCGAACGCACGAACCTGCTCACCTCATGCTCACCTCAAGAGCTTGAACTTGAATATCTTCAGCAACACTGTTGAAATTCTTGGCTATCACCACGTCGACTACCCTGTGCTCAGTTGCGGCCCTGACAGCTGTCGATCTTCTGCGAGCGTCCGTTGGTAGGATCCCGGAGCAGAAATCATCGAAAGATGTGGCCTCAGAGCAATCGAGAAACGCATAGGTAAGATTGAATGTGTTGGTACAAATCTAGGGCGCCATTAGCTACTGTTGAGCGCAATGTCTCGGGTCCAGAAATTACCTACCAGGGCGAGCTCTTTGGCAACGTCATGAATGTTCCCGCTCGTGGTATCGATACGGCAGTGTTCGCGCACCGCCAGACAAAGCAAGAGGGCGACCTCGAGATCCGACAGTTCCACGGCTAATCTGGTAATTTCCAAAGTATCATCCATGATACCTGACGCCTGCATTCCTCCTCATCGTGGCCAGTTATAGTTCCATTGCAGAGCGAGTCCGGAGCAGAGAAAGAACGCTGTGGTACAGTAACGGGTCTTGGCCAAGTCACGGTAGGGGGACGCCCAACGGGGTTTAGCGCCGGGAAGCACATGTGAGCTGGAGCTTCCGACCAAAAGCAAAGCGGCGCCTGCATCGACCACTCCCTCTCTCTCCCTCCCTCTGCAGCATTCAATTCCCTTCTTCCATGGTCCCATCCTCCTAAATGGCGCCGTCGAACCCCCTGGCGAACTGGGAGAAGCTGGGCGATAGCTTCTACCGAAAAGTACCCGTCTACGATGCCATCTTTGACGATGACGTCCAATTAGAGAACTACATTGTTGTTGGCGCCCCGTACGGAGGGGCTATCGGTATGCGCCGCACCATTTACTGATGGCATGGCCTGTTCACTATGGTAGAGAGCATACTGACACGAGTCTATAGCCCTCCATCGAGATGAGAGCAAGGTGTTCCGGTTTCGGGATGCCCAGACCGCCAAAACAAGCATTGACATCTACTCATGCTCGGGCAAACATATTAACCGAATAAACGTCAGTGGACTCGTTCAGATCCCTGTTTGGGGATAATACTAATCGCTTCCAGTGGGAGTACGGCACGATCCGTGGACTGGGTTGGTCGGGCCGGGAAGAGCTACTAGTCATCACGGAAGATGGTACGGTGAGGCGATATTTTGGCCTGCATGGCGATTTCACATCGTTTTCTCTCGGAAATGTAGGCTTCGATGTTTCTCCAATCTATGTATGCCCCTTGAAGCTAACTTCTCCAGGGTGCCGAAGAGTACGGGGTCCGGGCTTGTCGATTCTGGACATCTGGTTTCGTCGCTCTACTCTCGAATAACCAGCTGGTTGCTGTCTCGAATTATGATGAGCCGAGACCCAAACTTCTTGCGCCATGCCCCGAAGGAGAGGTATCATCGTGGTCTTTGATTCCTCCAGTTTATACGCTCTCTCGCTCGGTTGAAGTGTTGCTGGCAGTTGACAAGACTGTCTACTTAATAGATCCAACTGAAGCAGAAGACAAAGTTCTCCAAAATGGACCGTTCAAACATGCTAGTGTATCTCCTACGGGAAAGTTTGTGGCTCTCATCACAGCGGAGGGAAAGGTCTGGGTTGTCAGCAGCGATTTCCAAAGCAAATACAGTGAATATGACCCTGAATCCCGAGTCACGCCGCGGACAGTCGATTGGTGTGGTGATGATGCAGTGGTGATCGCCTGGGAAGATGAAGTGCATCTCATTGGGCCTAGCGGTGTCGCTGCTCGGTAAGTTTCTTAATTTCCACTTTCGCGTTACTGCTCTAACCGATCAAGATACTACTATGATGACACCGTTCATGTTATACCCGAATTTGATGGCGTTCGATTGATCACGAATGATACCTGCGAGTTCCTACACAAGGTTACAGGTGAGTCGGCACACAGGATTCTTTCATCCAGCGACTAATGGTATGATATGAAGATGTGACAGAAGCGATTTTCCGACTCGGATCGACTTCTCCGGCGTCAGTCTTATTAGACTCGGTAGATTTACTGGAGAAGAAGTCACCCAAAGCGGATGAAAACATCCAAAGAATCCGTCCCAGTCTCCCGGAGGCAGTCGATGTTTGTGTCAAGGCTGCTGGCCACGAATTTTACGCCTACTGGCAGAAGCGGCTCTTGAAAGCTGCCTCGTTTGGAAAATCCGTCCTCGATCTGTATAACAGCGACGAATTTGTCGAGATGACCGAGAAGTTGCGAGTTCTGAAGGCCGTGAGAGACTACCAAATAGGTCTCCCAATCTCTTACGAGCAGTACATTCGATTGACTCCCGAGAAGCTGATCGAACGCTTGGTCAATCGACATGAATACCTCTTAGCTATCCGGATTTCCGAATACCTTCAACTTCCCGCCGACAGGATTTATGTTCACTGGGCTAGCCAAAAGGTCAAAATCTCGACGGTCGATGACGAAGCGGTCTGTAAGCTCATTGTACAGCGGCTGGATGGAAAGCCAGGAATCTCATTTGAATTGATAGCACAAACCGCCTTTGATGAGGGCCGGTCTCACCTGGCAACTCAGTTATTGAACCATGAGCCGCGCGCCGGAAAACAGGTTCCATTGTTGCTGAACATGGAAGAAGATGAGATAGCCCTTGACAAGGCCATCGAAAGTGGAGACAACGACCTTGTTAACTACGTACTCTTACACCTGAAGAGTAAACTTCCTCTCGCCAGCTTCTTTAGGATGATCAACACACGGCCCATGGCATCAGCACTTGTGGAAACGAGTGCCCGTGAAGAGGATACAGAGCTGTTGAAGGATCTTTACTATCAAGATGATCGCCCGATTGATGGCTCAAATGTCCTTCTCTCGGAGGCATTAAGCCAGACGGCATTACCGCGCAAGACTGAGAAGATTCAGCTTGCATCTCGCCTGCTAACGGACTCAAAAGATGCGACCGTGGTGCTGCAACAGAAACTACTCTCCGAGGCATCGCAATTGTTGAAGGTACAGGAAAACCTGGACAAGGACCTTACTGATCGATCGGAATTCCTCGGCCTTAGTTTGAATGAGACTATCTACAGGCTGATCAGATCGGGTTACGGCAAGAGGGCACAGAAGCTCCAAAGCGAGTTCAAGATGCCAGAGAAAACCTATTGGTGGTTGAGATTGAGAGCCCTAGTCGCCAAACGAGATTGGGGTGAGCTAGAGGAGATCGGAAAAAACAAGAAATCGCCGGTAGGATGGGAGGTGAGCATATTCCCCCTTCTTTTCTATGGATGCACAAGCTCACTGGAAATGACAGCCTTTCTATAACGAGATTTTGGGCGCTGGAAACACAAAGCTTGCTTCACTGTTCGTCCCCAAATGTACCAACCTGCCCGTCGAGGACAAGGTGGAGATGTGGGTTAAATGCGGAATGATTGTAAAAGCCGGAGAAGAAGCCTTCAAGGCCAAAGATTTCAATACCCTTGAGCTACTCCGTGGGAGAGCTTCCGGACCTGCCGCCTCGGATATCGAGCGAATGATCAACCAGCTTAGGCCAAGGAAATAGCCGACACAGACCGGTCTGATACTTCCTTTGCGTTTGGTTTCCCCGTCCTGGCAATTCAGGTAATATCCTCATCTTCGTCAACACCTGCAGGTTCGTCCGCGACAGGATTCTGGGTCGCAATTGTTTGCCGGGGCTGGGATTTCCTCGTCTTTGCAGGAGGCCCGGAGTCGTCGACCATAGCATCGTCCTCGTCGTTGCCTGCCTCATTCTCAAGAGCTTGGAATTTCGACGCTACGGATTTGCGGTTCAAGTCTTCCCATTCGCCCTAGAGTAATATGCGATTAGAACGTGTTTCAAGGTGGCACCCCAGGGAAATTGGTATCGCTCATACCCTGCGTGCATTCACGGTTTTCGCGCGGCTGACACTCTTGGACACCTTCTTCTCCCTCTGATCCATAATGTTTTCTGCTCTTTCTATACCCTTCTGTTGTTTCTGGCGCTGCGCTCGCGATTTGTTCCGGGGCTTCGCCTGCTTTTTTGATACACCGGCATTTGCGCGGTCGACAAGAATTGAATCGCGCGGAAGTGCGGTCTCCTCAACTCGCGGCGCGGACATAACAGACTTGTCGACATCAAGACTCGGCGAAGCTGCCCGCCTCGCAGCGCGGGAGTGCTTTGACTGGGCTAGTAAAATCCCGTAGAGTTAGAGAAGCAATTCACAAATAGGACGCTTGTTGTCCAATTATGGGAACAATAGATCACTCACTTCTCGTCTTAGCCATGGTTCTTCGTCCACAAGTGAGCAAAGAAAAATAATGTCCCAACGGTCTATGATGCCGGTAGAATATTTTGTTGTGGAGACTTCCGGGCTATCGATAAAAGATCTCTCCGGTTGACGGGAGCCACCTGGAACGCAGCTTACTTATCCATTTCATCTTATTAGTGCTGCGTCGGCCGACGCTGCCTCGAAACCATTTGCCGCTGGTCTGGCACCATACACGCACGCCGTGGGAATTGTCATTCACTCTTTATGAAGACCACGGTACCGTCTCTATGCTGTGGTATTCTGTCTGTTTCTATCAGCCATGAACGCTCGCAGAGGGGGGATTGATATCCTCACTCAGAGTCCTCGGAACACAGCATCAAATAACCATTATGACACTGTGATACAGCACCTGCAGAGCAATTCAAGCCTAGCTTACATTTTAGTGACGGTGATATCAGTCTATTTCATACTCAACCACTTCAGATTCGTCCCTGCCTCGTTAGTCCGCGTCCTCTGGGACATCCTTGTCTACCTGACGCCTTCCAGAATTGTCGCCGCTCTAGATCCGCAGGCGACAAAATCAGATTCGGCTACCGACGTCTCTCCTTCGATGAACTTTTCCGCCAAAAGCGAAGCGATGCAACGAATTCTCGGACTGAATAACTCTTCTTCCTTTTCCTCTCTATTCCCGGGGTCAACTGCGCTGTCGGGTCTCGGTACTGCCATTTTGGGAAACAAGGATACCCTGCCGCCGGGGTTGGGGAACTGGGACAATTCGTGCTATCAGAACAGTATTATCCAGGGACTGGCGTCGCTCAGGTCTTTGGATGAATTCTTGGAGCGCAACATCGAACTTCTCGGAGAGAAAGGGCTACTGTCAACCCATCAGGCCTTGAAGGATATCATCGAACGACTGAACAGCGCATCCTGCTATGGTCAGCGCCTGTGGACGCCAGCGGACTTGAAATCTATGAGCAGCTGGCAGCAGCAGGATGCGCAGGAATACTTCGCGAAGGTGGTGGATCAGGTCGACTACGAAGTGCATCAGGCCACGAAGCGACAGACTCGGAACTTGGGCTTAAAGATGGCAGGGCCACAGGAGCATGTTATCGGGTCTGGATCTACGGTTCAGGAAAAGGAGGAAACTCCCACAGCGAACAAGCCTCATGAGCCCCCGTCTTTCCGTAACCCGTTGGAAGGCCTTCTTGCGCAGAGGGTGGGATGCATGAGATGTGGCTGGACCGAAGGTCTTTCTCTTATTCCGTTTAACTGCCTGACTGTGCCTCTTGGCGCAAGCTACGGGTACGATGTCCAAGACTGTCTGCATGATTACATGCAACTCGAACCGATCGAGGGGGTGGAATGCGCCAAGTGCACGTTGTTGCACGCCCGAGACCAGCTTCAGAACTTGCTCCAGCAAATTGAAGATGATAAGGCTCTGAGCAGCACACCCGACTCGCCCAAATTATCAGATGCTCTCCGAAACTCGGCCCAGGAACGGTTGGAGGCTGTGCAGGAAGCGCTTGAAGAGCAGGATCTTGCCGAAAAAACCATGTCCAAGAAATGCCACATACCCGCGAAGAATCGCGTCTCTTCTACCAAGTCAAGACAGGCCGTCATCGCAAGACCACCCAAATGTCTTTCGATCCACATCAACCGAAGTTTGTTCGACGAGAACACGGGCATGCTTCGGAAAAATTACGCCGCAGTGCGATTTCCCAAAACGCTGGACCTGAATGAATGGTGTTTAGGAAAACAGTCTATGGTTTCCGTCGATAACAACACGGAAACATGGGATATTGACCCTCGCGAATCGATGCTCCCACCGGCCGACAAAGTTATGGATTCTTTTGACCGCCAGTATGAATTACGAGCAGTGGTCACGCATTACGGCCGTCATGAGAACGGACACTACATCTGTTACAGAAAGTACTCGACGGAGACCTTCCCCGTGCAAGTCCCAGAGTCTGTCATAGATGCGGATGGGGACAAAGAGAAGCCGGAGCGTTGGTACAGACTCAGCGATGAGGATGTCCAAATGGTCAGCGAATCCAATGTGATGAACCAGGGCGGTGTCTTCATGCTCTTTTATGAAGCCGTTGGGTCGCACTCCTCTGGATTGGCAGATTGGGAAGAACCCGACGCCACCGAAGTTGAAGAATCTACAACCAGCCCCGAGGATATGTCCACCCGATCTACACGATCTACTGCGACGGAAGGGTCGATCTCCGACACCTCGCGGGCGACTAGCGTCTCCGCTCCCGAGCTGGCTACCGAGAAGTTCCCGCCATATTCTGAGATCGAATAATGGCCTCTGCTTCGTGCAGATTGTTCTATAGTTTTCCGTTGGCTTGGTGGAATGCCGCCCGGAATTATGTATACCAAGCGTTCTATGATACCCCGAAGGTGCAATGTTACTACATTGAGAGGCGTTGACAGTTATCATTAGCTCAGTGGCCTATGTTGGAGGGACTAGGTTGTCTATTGGAGAAAACAATATCTCATCAGATGTATTACTAGCCATTACCATGCATTGGACATTATTTGAAACGGATACATTTATGACTTTGAAGCCATGCAAGTCTTCCAGCCACACAACCCCTCGAGCTCAATCAGCAGGGTATTTCACCTTGAAAAGCACAGAGTATGAGTACGTACAGCTCCCACGAGCTTGATAGTTAGTGAATACATATTATAAACAGAAGAGTACCAAAACCATCAAACACCCGCCAAAGAATCATAACCCAGTATTCCGACAAACACCTAGAAACCCCATATAAAGCAAAGCTAATCCAACAATCAAAAAACGCCCGCCCTCATCATAACATCATGAAACTGCTCCAACGTCACCCCCGCCTGGACGCCTGCCCCGCCATTCGCCTCCAAGATCATATCCCGGAACAGGTCATCGCCGAGCCCTTCCTCTTTCAGCTCGCGCGCGATGCGCCGCAGATGGGACATTGTGATCGGGCCGTCTGAGCCCTTCGTGAAGAGCTGGAACGCGGCGTCTACTTCGGCGACCATGGCGTCTTCGCTGCGGGATCGGAGCTTCGCGGCTGCGACGGAGAGGAAGGGTTCGTATGGTACGAAGCCGGTGTCTGTGGGGTCGAGGGCGGAGAGGATGGAGTTTAGTTCGGAGGAGGTGGAAGGGGATAGGCCGAGGGCTCTGTTTTTTGGTTAGTTGGTTGGTTGGTTGATTGAAGATGTAGGAGGGAAGGGAGGCATACACCAAGGCTTTGCGAACGTCTTCGCAGGGTATCACGCCTTCCTTCTCATTTTGGAATTCTTCATTCGTGGTCGAGAAGATGTGGAAGACTTCTTTGATCTCGTTCTCTTCTTCCCCGGTCAGGTCGTTTTCTTTGGCGAGTTTGGACTGGCGCGCTCGTTTGGGCGCCGATCCGGCGGATGGCGCACTGCGCTTTTTGGGAGGCTGGAGGCATTATTTGGTTAGCTGGTTGTTTTGTTGGTTGGTTGAATGGATGGAAGTTAAGGAAATGCGATCCAGTGGGTATCTTGCTTACCATATCGCTGTGGTTTCAGGATGCGCGCGGAGCAGTATTCGCGTGAATTGGTTGTCGCAATGTCAAAGGGAAAAGATATGCGCGGGGCGGACAGCCATTGGTAGGGCGATGGATGGTGATTGGATTGCAGAAAGAGGGAGTCGGGACTGGTCGCATGGCACTGTCGTTTCCGTCATAGATCGTAGGCGGCCATGTTGGATTGCGAGATCCGGGGATCAGAGAGATCAAAGAGATGGTCGTTGATCGAAGATCACCGAATGCTTGATTTCCCCGTGACTGATACGTTGCTGACGTAACCGGATGATGCCTGCGCTTTCCTTCGGACTTGATAAACGCTCCTTTGTCCTGCTCGTTGAGGGTGCTGAACTAGACTATACTATTGAGTAGACAATCCGCATAGATCTTTCAGATATTATTCAGCTATTGATATTATTTCTTTCTGGCACTGTCGACGGACCTTACCTCCAATTCCTAGCTCGTTCATCTGCCACCATGGATGTGGAGCTGTACGTGTACGACTTGTCCAAGGTGATTACTCTGAGTTGAATATCGTGCTACTCTTGCAAAATAGACTGCTAATACATTGACAGGGGCTTGCACGGATGGTGTGTACAGAGGATCCAGACTGATTCTGTTGGCAACGTTAACGCAGTCTAGTACTCGCTCCCTTTGACGGGAACGCAGATCGATGCCATCTACCATACCTCTCTGGTACTGAATGGAGTCGAATATTTCTTTGGGCAGGGCATCCAGACCGCTGTCCCTGGTAGCACCCACCATGGTCAACCCATTGAGAAACTTCACATGGGCCGGACCGAGTTGCCCAGTGATGTAATTGAAGAGTACATCTCGTCGCTCGGAGAGATCTATACTCCGGAGGTATTATGCCCGTGCTGTATCCAGTGGCCACGAAATAGTAACCCGTTTTTAGTCTTACGATCTCTTCCTACACAATTGCAACAACTTCACCCAAGACCTGTCTATGTTTGTGGTCGGGAAGAGCATCCCAGATCACATCCGCAACCTGCCCAAGACGTTCCTGGACACCCCCTTTGGCCAGATGATGAAGCCTCAGATCGAGATGGCTCTTCGCGGAACGGTGCAGGGCTCTGCACCAACTCCCCAACCTTATGTCAATGGTTCCTCATCTGCTGCTGCTGCTGCGCAGCCGGTGCCGCTTGCACCCTCCCACGGCACCGTCCGAGTGGTCAGCAATGTTCCGCAGCTCGAGGAACAACTCGCCGCTGCATCGCAGTCCTGCGCAATCATCTTTTTCACTTCGGCGACATGTCCCCCTTGCAAGGTGCTCTACCCTGCATATGACGAGCTTGCCCAGGAAGCCGGTGACCAGGCCACCCTCATTAAGGTGGACATCAGCACGGCTCGCGACGTCGGCATGAAATACAGCATCCGCGCCACGCCAACCTTCATCACCTTCCTCAAGGGCTCGAAGCTCGACCAGTGGAGCGGCGCAAACCCATCCCAACTCCGAGGCAACGTGCATCTCCTTATACAGATGGCGCATCCCTCCCACCCTCATCGCCAACTCCACCTCCCAAGCCTCCAGCGGTCCATCACCAAATTCGTCCTCTACCAAAAAGTTCCACCCTTTGAGAAACTACTTCCGAGACTCCAACCTTACCATGAAGACCCGCGCCTCACGTCCATCATCGAATTCATCAACCGTCGCACCGCCTCGCCCGTCGACACCCCTCTCCCAGACAACCTTCCTTCTTTCGCCACCTACCTCCAAACCACCGTGCAGACGCTCCCTCGCGAGAACGTCTTTGCCGCCATCGACCTTGCTCGTCTCCTTTTCCTCGACCCGCGAGTAGCCGGCTACTTCGCCGAGGAGCCCGACCACAAGACCATTCTCACTTTACTCTCGCCCTCTGAAACCCTCTCCTCCTGCCCGTACCCCCTCCGCATCATCATGCTGCAACTCGTCTGCAACCTCTTCAACACCCCCCTCTTCTCGAACCTCCTGGTCACCTCTTTCTCTCCCGCCTCCCCACTCCACGAAACCACCATCCGCCTCGTCACCGGCTGTCTCCTCGACTCGCATCCTAACCTCCGCGTCGTCGCCGCCTCCCTAGCCTACAACATCGCGGCGCACAACCACAACGCTCGCTTCAACGCGACTGCCAGTGCCGGATCACACGATAAGCTCTCCGAGGAAGACCAGGTCGAACTCACCGCGTCGCTCGTTGAAGCCATCACCCAGGAAGAAGAGAGCGTGGAGTCCCTACACGGCCTCCTCTTTGCGTTGGGGCTCATCGTGTACGAGGCGCCTATGGACGGGGAGGTCGTGGACCTGTGCAAGGCGATGGGGACCGCGGAGGTGGTGCAGCAGAAGAAGAAGGTCGGGACGTTGGCAAAGGAGTCATTGATTCAGGAGGTTGGGGGGGAGTTGTTGGGGAGGGGGTTGTCTTTGTAATTTTGTCTAGATTTGGGTAGATTGAGTGCATGTTTTTTTTTTTTTTTTTTTTTTTTTTTTTTTTTTTTTTTTTTTTTTTTTTTTTTTTTTTTTTTTTTTTTTTTTTT